GAAAAAAATTTTGACTTAAAATCGCATCCGGGAAAAACAGAAGAAAGATCTATCATACCCAATGCTGATGAGATATCAACAGATACTCTGAAATAAACGAGACTACTCCTTTTAAAAAAACAATTGCGCATACAATAAGTATGCGCTGTTGCGATCGACCAATTCTCTCTGCTCGCGGCAGCCTTTCTCATGTGCTCGAATGGGCATGAAATCCTTGCATGGTGGCGGCGAAACGAGATGCGTTTGCTCGGAATGGGTTCTTCGATTATTGTTTTCGGAGTCAGTATAAAACACGCTTCGGATGACTAGTCCTGAAGCGCTTTACCAGAGCCCATCTTAACCGTCAAACTGACGTTGTCCGTTCGACACTACGAGGAAGTGAAGAGTTGGATTTTGTCGGACTAATAGGTAAAAAAATGAAAGACATATAATCGTGTTTTCCGAGTAATATCGCTGATTTTCTCAAACTGAATGCTGTTTGATGAAACAGTGCTGCAGACAGCTCAGAGGCGCCTTGATTTCTTCAGGAATTGTTATGTTATGGTTTATCTCAGATGGATGACCGAGCTCCAAAGTCTCGTGTCCTGTAGCACAACTAACAAAGAACTAACTAAGTGCCAGTGAATGGTATAAAAGCTCACTGGACATACAAAATCACTAATCCTCTCACAGTATATTATCACGAAAAAAAGTATATAAAAAGCACTCTACACCACACAAAGTAACGAAGAAGATGATCGAAGAAAAAACAGTCAAACGAAACGGGTATTTTGCATGCGAAACATGCGAGGGTGATGATGATTTGAGATGGGGATGAGAGATGTTGGTACTGTTTTTGGATTAGGCTGACGATATTTTTCACTTGTTCCATAGCATCAACGAACTTTGTATGGCGTAAGGTGTTAGTGCCGATTGCCAATACGATGGTGTCACACGTGGAAATCAATTTGGCGTGTTCGGTTGCAACTTTGTATTGAGCTGACGTTTGTGCATCATATCGATCAATCCATTATAATCCGGATTTTGCGATGGTATAAATATCGTAATGTTGTTGCGGAATGTGTTTGGGAAGGTGTGGGAGAGAATGACATATGATGGACGTTTGTTGATCATTATTGAAGCACCGAGAATTATAGAAGATAGAGGAGTTTTAGAATGCTTGTTAGCATCACGAGGTTGATTCATGACTGGCCGTTGATCTGATGAAGGGTCCGTGGGGCGGAAAAAGACTTCGTCCCCAACCGGCATCTCCTCATTCAATTCCATTGGTGTTGGTTGAGCTAACATAAATGGACTTAATGTGTTTTGATTAATGTTACGGGTGATGACTGTGCGTTGTTGAGTATGTTTACAGCCTGGTGGTCGTGTTATCGGTTCTGTTTCGGGTGTAGAAATTGCTGATCCTAAAGTTACTGTTGAGCAAATATAATCCAAATTGTATTGCTAATGCCCTCTGTAATTTTCAGCTGTCGTTTGGATGTTTTAGCTGGAATTTTCCCTGTGATGGTGGAACTGGATGCATATGACCGAGTTTCCTCTGTCTGCTGTAGTTATGCTGTTTGCAGCTAATACATGAGTCTATATAATTTGTTGCGTGTTTGACCACCAATATTTGTATTTCATTTTTGCATACGTTCTGTGAGCGGCAAAATGACCTGCAGACGGATGGTCATGATAAGAACGAAGAGCTGGTTCAATCATTGTTTGTGGAAGATAAATGAGTTTCGATTTTGTTTTGCCAGAATCTCTAGACAATAATTTATAAAAAATACCGTCTTTTAATTCGTATGGATGTTTACTGAGATTTTTCAAAATTTCTTTAATCTTTTTCTGGATTACTGGATCTTGTTGTTGCTCTTCGATTAGTTTGGTTATGTCCAGGTGGTTTGGCATTACTCTTTCTTTCAATGGTTCAAGATTTGGAGGTGAAGATTGATTATCGTTCTTGTCTGGTGGATTGTTTGTTGTTATTACTGCTTCTTTCCTCGTTGCAGATCTTGTTATTGCACCGACCACACCGCTAAGCATATAGCGGGTAACTCCGTCCTTACCGCGAAGCGTGTGGCGGTCACGTTCCATGTCGTAATCTGCATCCATCAATTCATCTGCTCCAGGAGCTGGATTTCTAGAAAGATAATCTGGTAGACAATTACATCTACCCTTGATGTGTATGATTTGTTGGATATCATATTCTTGCAACAATAGTGCTATTTTATTTATGCAACAATGTCAGCGAATTTATGGATAAACTTACCGTACCATGCTATAGCTCCAATGACCCGGTTTGCTTCCTGTAATGTGGCAGGTTCCTTCAATTTCAAGATGGCATTTATTTTGTCATCCAACGGTGTGATTGCTGCTGCTGTGGTCGTGTGGCCCAAACAATCGATTTTTGGCTGAGCAATTGTACATTTCGGAGGGTTGAGTTTCAAATTGTTCAAATTTAAACATTTTAAGACTTGGTTTATGTGTTCCAGATGTTCTTCTGCTGTTTTAGAAAAGATGACTATATCATCCAAGTAGACTTGACAGAGATGACGGCAGGGGTTTAAGACTGTAGACATAACTCGTTGAAATGTTGGAGGAGAGTTTTTCAGCCCCTGAGGCAGCACGTTGAACTGGAACAGACCAACGGCGTGATGAAAGCAGTCTTTGGTCGATCGTCTCTTCTAATTGGGATTTGCCAGAAGCCAGATTTTAAATCGAATTTGGTAAAATATTTATAGCCTTCGCCCTACCTTTGCACTGTTTGTTCCATATTGGGTAGAGGGTATTGATCTTTTAGCGTGACGTTGTTTAATCTTTTATAACCCACAATTAATCGCCATGATCCATCTGACTTTGCGGTTAACAATGCAGAGGTGGCATATGGTGATTTGGCCGGTGAAATCAATCCAGCGTGTATTAATTCTTCTAAGGTTTCATATAATGCGTCTTGCTTTTGTTGACTCATCGGATAGGGTTTAACACAGGGTGGTGAATGTGTGATAGTGTTTATTACATGTGAAACTTCGGTTCTCGCAACTGTGGTCTTTGAAGTATCAAAAAGATGTTTGAACAACACAAGAATTTTTCGAAATTCTTCTCTATATGATACTCCGTCCACGCCGCGAAGCGTGTGGCGGTCTTCAATTTTATTTATCATTTCTGCAGTGTGCTCTTGCGCCGTTAATTTCTTTGTTGGTTGTTTAATCTCCATTTGCTCTTGCAAAGGCAGTGTGGATACTCCTACTATAATGCCCTTGTGCAAAATACATGGGTAATTTGTTGGATTATGAATTGAAAGAACTGCACGGTGCTGTTTGATTTCTAATAATGAATTTGGCATAAATATGGGAATTTGTTCTTTCAAATTGTATAATGATCTGAAGACACCTTTGGCAGTTGAAACACATGCATTTACACTAACATTGATCTCTTCTCTTGGAGGAATGCATACTGCGTCCGTCAATCTAACTGGTAGTTTTAGTGGATGGTCTTGTTTCGTCATTAGGATAGATTTTTCTTCTGTTCCTTTACGAATGGTTATATTTTGCCTATCGAAATCGAGGTTCACTCGATATTTATGAATGTAATCTAGTCCAATCACACAATCAGTGAACAAACTTTTCACTACCACTGCTGTGATTGTTGTAATCATTTTGTTGATTTTTATTTGCAATTCCACAGTTCCAAGAAGCTTTATATGTGTGTTCACATACCCTCAATAAAATTAGTCATTCTCAAGTTATAGTCAAAATCATCATTCCGTGCATCCACGACTCATCAACTTTCTTTCATGTAGAGATGAAGCCAACCCTTTTACTTCATCAGAACCATTATTATACGAGCTTTAAAAGTATACATCCGACTTTTTTATTTTGTCTTGTCAATGAGAAAATTCCCTTTTTTCTAAATCATGAGCGAATAAGTGCAAATTCTGCACATAATTCTCCATCAAAATTCAACTTCTATGCAATACAAATATCGTATTCGAATGCTATATATGTCAAACACTTTTCGTTGCTTTTCGTCTTTCTAATTACTGGTGAAAATCCCAGTAATTTTTAGACGCAAAAATTTAAAAAAACTAAAGTGGTCCGATACGATAAAATCATATATCATGTTTTTCATTGTTTTGCTTCATTCCTTTTGTCAATTAAAAGTATTTTCAAAGATGCAATCGGTTGTGCTGTGTCGATTTACTTTTCATTCGCTGGGCTTTTTAAAAAAAGATTCATAACGAAGCTACAAAATGTTTTTAAGCCAGATTATAACCTCTGATAAGTATAGTTGATATTTCGACGGACTGCTTCGGAAGAAGAAAGAAGTGTAACTGACTCAGCATACGCTTACAAACAGGCGACGTTCATCATTGTGCAGTGTTCAGTCCACCTTGAATTTAATGAGGCTGAAAAGCAAACTAAGTCTATCTCCAACTGTTTTTATTCCACATAATCTTCCAGTAAGATAGATATCATACATGGAAAATTTCATAATAAATCATTTAAATTTGTATATGAAATCGGTA